CATATATATATTTATATATATAAATAATGTTTGTGTATATGTATATTATATATATATATATATATATATGTACACACATACATACATGCACACGTATACACACACACATATATATACACATACTCACATTCCACATACCTATCCTCTTCAACCGTGATTTTAGCACCTCGCGTGTACGACACTGTCGGCTGCTTCGGACCGCCAGCTCGCCCAGGCCCTGCCATGGCAAATGGTTCAGGCGCAATAACCACAAGATGGCAATACCAAGTGACTTCTGATGTTATATTCAGTTGCTAATTGTTATGTACATACACATATCATATATCCGATGTCCATAAATTAAAAATATGGAAATAGAAGTTGGTGTGTATGAGTTCATCGCAGACTCTACTATCTCTAGAGTAGAGAGAGAGAGAGCGCGCGAGAGAGAGAGTGTAAATAGACTAATGTAAATATAGAGTATTTAGACTCTATGTGGAGTTTTAAAAAGTCGAGTGTAAACTGTAGATCATTCTATAGAGAGAGAGAAGTAAACAAATACACACAAATACATAGCAGGTCGGACTGCAGAGTGCAGTGTATTGTGTAGGCAGCCCGGCAGCGTATTTATGACCGAATGACCCTCTGGCTGGTTTTTTTTAGTTTTCAGTTAAAACAATTTATAAATATAGAGAGCATATTTTTCAAAAAATAGCCTTCTTCTAAAATCTGAATCATATTTACATATTTTGTTTTTGATATTTGTTTTTTGTTTTTAAAACAAAAAGAAAGAGATATAAAATAGGCCAATAAAATATGTTGTAATCGGGATATTTTTCTAGGGTTTGTAGGATTCTATAAAAAATACCCAACACTTCAAAATCCCCCCACGAAGCACGGCCCTCTAAATTAGGGTAGAGAGCAGAAATCAGTAGCGGAGATCGTAAATTTAGCAGAGAACAAAGTTCACAATCATGGTGTTGTTTTTTCAATTTTTAGCATAGCCTTCTTAACTATCTGGCCTGGTATACTACAAAGACACGTCTTCTTAGTTCTTAGCAAACTAGTTTCCGACCCGTCGCGATATGTCTTCTTAGGAGAATAAATTGACGTAGATCGGACTTCTGAGTGTAATAAAAGACATATTGTCCGGACGTGTCGTTATAGAGAAGTGGTTTCCGACGGCCTTAACGTGTCGTCATAGCGAAAAGTGCTGTCTTAAACCAGCCCAGTAAAATATCCATTTTAAATAAAGGCATAGCCTTCTATTAATTATTGAAACATATGTTTTAGGACACTTTTCCCCCCCTCGAAATTCGACATCTATGCGACTATTTCGAAAATAAATACGACAACAGTCAACGAGACGGCGATAGTCGGAGTCTCGGAGAGTCTATTCGTTTAGTTTTTTTTTTTTAAATTGGCTCAATCGGTTAGACTCGCACTGATTTGTATAGAGAAAATAACCCAATGTCTTATCTCATTTGATCTCTTTATATTTTAGACAGCAAAGTTTTTTGGGCATAGTCGCCATAGTTATTGACTTTATATAGACTGCCTTTCTCTCTCTCTCTCATCATTCTCTGCTGGGGAGGAATGGGGTTGATAATGGGGATGATGGACTGGTATCTGGTGGTCTATTTATGGATTTGGATTTTGGAAAGTAAATAGAACATTATATATTAAATTTTAGTAAAATATTGTCGACATCATGGCCGTCTATTTAAAAAAAAACATTCTCCTCTACTCATTCTACTCTAGAGAGAGATTAGAGGGAGAGAGAGTAGAGACCGTCTCTCTTACACACACACTCTCTCTCTCTCTCTCTCTGAATACTAATGAGTGGGATGTTGCTATTAGAGTAGCGTCTAGCTAGAGAAAAATCTTTGGATTCTCCAAGAGTCTAGAATCCAGACACCACAGTTAACCAATTAAAATAGACTATATTTCTTATACACAATTTGAACATCTGCCACAGCCCACATTTTTCGGAATCAGTACGGTACATACTCACGGAAACTCCAAGAGTTCGAGAAACTATTCCGTATTTTTTTTTGTTTTGATTTTTGTTTTCAAAAGCTACTCTCTGGGTAGTCTAAATAAATACAACCTAAAAGAAAAAAGTATGTCAGTATCTGAATTCTGACTACAGTACTCTCCCCGGGACCCTGATTCTCCCGGGTTTTATATAACAAAATACATCATCAAATATCTCCGTTCAATTCAGTATTCTGTTCACATCACCCATGAAACATGTGTGAAGTGGTAAACGTATTTAGTATAAATATAGATACACCACATACAAACTCTCTCTAAAGAGAGTCTATACTCCATTTTTTTTTAAACTTCCCATTTTGAATTCATGAAATCATAATACAGCTTTTCGATTTGAAGCTTTTGTATTTTTTAGGCCGGATTTGCCAACTTCAGGAAATATTGGGGAACAAAATATGAAATGAGTTAAACACTTTACTCCGTTAACTAATTTCGATATTTCTTCGCGCGATCCATAATTTTAAAACAGTTATTCTGAATATTCAGGAAATTTTGGGAAATGACTTTCATAATTTTTGAGCCTCGTAATTTTCTGATTTCACGATTTCGTGTGTTTTGCCATTCCCAAATTATGCCAGATTCAATCCAAAACATATACAACAATATTTTTTTTGTTGTATATTTTACCGTAAGTCAAAAAGAGGGTCTACCCTCTTTTTGACTTTGGTAGAGAATGATGTATTCTATTTTAGGATTTACTCCAGCTTTTATGCACGTTTTGACAAACATGCCATCCTTTTTAATAGACCGACAATTTACGCGCCAAGAAAAAAAAGCTTCATGGAATCACTACTGCCAATGGGAGGGGTGTGGTTAATTTTTAACAATCCAAATGTTTCATCACTTTTTCGGTTCCATATTAGAATATCTTGTGCATTCTTGCAATTGCCAACTGAAAGTATAAAAATACTGTGCGAATATTCTACAATATCTCAAATACAATCTCTCATGAATTTCGAAATTCTCATGAAATATAGCGCTCCAATAATTTACAGGAAATATACCAAAATATACCTGAATATTTATTAGGGCTATATTTTCTCAATATTTCTTTATGTTGGCCAATCAGGCCTTAGATTAGATGTTTCTCGAAAGAGTCAAATCCCAAAGAATTATCAGAATGTTTGGAAATTTCCATTGGCTTCCTTCAGGCCTTCGAAGTAGACTTCTGATGTCATATTTTTGTACACGGCTATGTCTGAGGCAAAATAGCGTCCAAATATGGGTACTAAATTGTCCGTCTCTAAGCCAATCATATTTACCAGCTGGGCCAAAGGGGCAATTACCAGTAAAGAATGTGTAGGGGATCCGAGTGGTTGTTTTATCCTTTGGTTATTGTTCACCGCTTACGTGTGGGTTTGTATGGTCTACTGTAAGTCCAGCGGACGTACGAATCTACGATACAAGCCCATATAGATATATTTAGATAGATATATATAGCACTGATATAGCGTCTAAGACAGTCACTGACGTTTATGTGTTCAAGTGTACAGTGAACATGTTTTCTATGCGTGTGCTATGGAGCCGTCTGCCAAGCGTGACTGGCGCTTTGACAGGTACGGTGCGGTAACTTTAGTGTTCACATCTCTTACTTGCATCACTTGATGACGCTGACACGAAAGTCCAGAGACTTAGGTGTCCGTATCACTGAATGACTTAGATCGAAATTGCATCACTTGAAACGCAACACTTGCTGACATTAGGCTCGAAAGTGCCGCTAAAGTTGAAAACGACAGTCACGGCGACAAATTAGCTTCATATCAACTACATTAACTTAATATCGATTAAATTAACTTAATATTGCTCAAATCAGAGTCAACTACACGCACGGACTCTCTCCTAATCGGAGTATTTAGATAATGCACTTTAAAATCGTTGATATACATCTTTACGTATATACACTAGGATTTCTCATGTGATAGATTTCGGAGATCCTTACATATTTCTTCGCGTACATACATATACACATGGATATCTCACGTAATCGCCTCGCGTATAGTTTTGTATGCTCATTAAAATAACATGTATCTTTTCGTGCATATTACAAATACCTTTCACATGCGTATGCAATATTAAACGACATACAATTGCAACGTGCTCACTTCACTGGTGTAGTTCCCATGTAGTCTGACCACCCAAACGAACGACTAGTGCCATTGAGCGCATTCACACTATAAAATAGTACACAATAAGATCCTCGATACACAGCTTGCCTGCTTACATACGATCTACCATATATACATAAGGATATATATATATATATATATACAAAAAATGCCATTCCATTGCAATGTACTCATTTTGTCGCTGGATCTTGTTTCCCTACAGTACGGCCACCCTCAAGTCTGGCTCGTATCGCTCAGCGTGTCTCAGCGACCACTTTTCACTCGCGAGATACTAGCATTGACTACCCGGATGCTGGAGGATCACCCGAGTACAAGAGCATGTACCAGAGAAGTATCGATGTAAGTATTGCATACTTGTTATCTGCATTAGTATATATGAAATACGTACAGCCGTGCGCTAGAGGTCAAATGTTCTGAAATAACTGCAATGTGCTTCTGGATGCAGTACTTTCTATACCATCGCTTGAGGCTCTGTATACGCGTTTCCTCAGTTGATTCTATTCTCGTTTTGTGCTTATGTTCACCGCGTGAATATCTCATATATCTTGTATTTCCTGACTAAATATCGGTCGTGCTTGTAAGCAAAGAACGGGGCATAAAAGTCCCCATCACAAACTTGCGCTTACGTATGCACGCATGAAACATGAGCAGACACAAGAGAGGAAGTATATGAACACACTGTATATCAATCCTTCCCCCAAAATAATCAATGCACCAACAGGATCCGGACACTTTCTGGGGCTTAGCTGCTAAGAAGCATCTGTTGTGGGAACGTCCGTACGATATCACGAGCTCAGTCTTCCTGGAGGAGGGGTTCATCAGTTGGTTCCACGGAGGAAAGTTGAATGCCTCGGTACGGTACAGCCAGATCTGTTGTAACTTAAGTCACACGCATGTGGCATGTTGTTATATTCATATTCTTGTTATATGCATGTTATAATGTAAGCTTTGTAGATCAAGCAACAACCATGTGATATGTTACTATGCACTGTTGAGTGTAACTTCTCACCCGCTGTCATACACGTGCTAGTAGTTTGTGCTGAGCTTCTTATGCTTGTTATACAGTATATTTTCTTGCGTGCACAATTGCGTTTGAACATGTATGTGTTGTGAGAACCTCACGTGATATATGTCGTCTGTGAGTGTGTGTACCTATGTTCTTAGGTATCCAGGGGCGTTCAAGTGGAATACAATTACCAGATGCATACTTGCGAATACAATCGCCTCAGAGTTCAAGCACTTGCAAGCATATCGGAGAATTGTGCCGACGAGTGACCAGAGGTTTATCATATCAATAAAATTAAATTTCGGCTGATATCAACCGCAAATTGCACCGAATATTTTCTTACGCTTGGAATGATTCTGCCTGCAGGTTAACTGTGTGGATAAGCATATCAAATTGCGCGCGAATGCCACTGCCCTTATTTGGGAAAAGGATGAACCCGGTCAGGAAGAGCGAATCACTTACCACATGCTCTTGTCAAAGGTAAATGCGGCTTATAGATGCAGTGATAGCAGTTTAGAATACATGTGCACAACAACGGTGCATGCAGCCTGGGAGTATATACCACCAGAAACTTTGACTATGTCAAACTACTTTCATAATTTTATATTTTAGACAACCATGTATTTTCTGTTTATATAGAATCCGACACAAGCGGCCGGCCGCCAGGGAGATTGTTAACACATACAGATATACACACCGTGTTTTAAAGTGCACACGAACAATTATATAGAATAGAGACAGCACAGCTGCTCTAATTTATATTGCTTAGATTGTAAAGGCGGACACAAGGAGAGTAAAATTCATGTCCTGGTGCATGTATTGGATTGTGTTGAAAATGCGGTCGCCATGCTGTCTGCCGCGCTATCATTAAATACGGGCATGTGCATATCTTTATTTTGAAAGCTCAAACCTTCTATCCTTATTCTCGTTGTTGTGTACAGGTTTGCCGAATGGCCAACACATTGCGACGAGCGGGAGTGCGAAAGGTACAGTATCCATGCCGTAGAGTCCAATGTTTTAGTTGGACCTCTGGATATCTTACGCTAGCGTTGGATCCGTGCGTAACGAGATTGTCCTCACCCAACTCTCTCTCACGTATCACTGTCTTCCTTTATTACAGTACGATGTAGTGACTCTGTACATGCCCACCATGCCTGAGGCTGTATATGCGATGCTTGCCTGTGCTCGACTAGGAGCAACCCACAGCGTTGTCTTTGCAGGTGCGTGTGTATAATTGTTACGTTCTTTTTGCCTGGAATCGGTGTAAAACCGTGTGCTTATAAAAACACCCTAAAAAGGCCCCATTCACACGTGTTCTTGCTCGGTCATATCAGTCTATGTATTTGTATTTCGGGGCTGTGAAACATAGACGCATATTCACATCTTTACAAACATAATTTTACAGGTTTTTGTAGATACACACGCACACCAACACGTGTAGAAGATGCATACACACACACATCGCTGTACGCACTTGCACATATATATATCCACACGTGCTCGTTACTTGCCTATAATCCTATATTTTGTCTAACCCTTATACTTGTAACCCGTTTGCTCAGGTTTTAGCGCGGACGGTTTGGCAGCACGAATCAACAGTTCCAACTCGACTCACGTCATCACCGTCGATGAGGGTGTGCGTGCAGGCAAGATTCTCCCAATGAAGAAGACAGGTGAGTATATGTGAATGAGTTAATACATGTGTGCGTTACGCTAGCGTGACAACAGCACGCGTTCGGTGCATACATACATCCAGACAAAGTTGTACTGTTTTTATAGTCATATATATGCAGAAAAAAATCTAGTTATATAGTTATGAAGAGAATACTAGATGTACAAAATTATGAATAAGCATATACTATGCCAAAATGTCTAGCGAATTTCTCAAAATCTTCCAATTCACTATCCTCTCTGCAATAACAGTGGATGAAGCGGTGGCCAAGTGTCCCTCGATCAAACAAGTTCTGGTCTGCAAGCGTACCGGCAACCCGGTGCCCATGGGACCCATGTATGTGTGTCTCTGTGAATATATGCATGTCTATAGAGATTGTATGTCTCGATGTTTGGCAAGCGAGACAAACTTCCCATGCAATATAGTATGTGCATACTATATATACATATAGAAATATAATACGCACATGTTCGCGCATACACGAGGTTATACTTCGTCTCATCGCACAATATTTCCCTGATAATTGTGCAGTGATCTCGACATGAACCTGGAGATGAAGAACTCACGCCCGTATTCGACAGCCGAAGTGATGTCGTCGGAGGATCTATTATTTTTGCTGTACACGTCCGGATCTACTGGCGCTCCCAAAGGCATTGGTATGTGCTGCGAATATAAATGTATATATGTATGTATATTAATTAAATATGTAGAAGTTCCAAGTATGTATATACTTGTCATGTAATTTCTTCTTCTCTACACTGAGCGAGAAAAAACATTAAAAACCCCTTCTAAGAGTCATTAACGCCCTAGCAGTTCAATATATTTTTGCTTTCTTCCCTTTTTGTCATATACTGATTATATCGCTACATAACATTCTACACACAGCCCATTCGACTGCCGGATACTTGCTGTACGCCTCCATGACCCACAAATACGTATTTGGTAAGTTTGAATCATCGCCAAGGATTTTAAGGTGTTAGTGTATCAGTAATACAGATCGAATATGTATTTGTTTGTACATATTTATGATGTCAAGTGCATTGTCAGGCATGTATGTCAATAAGTATAGTTGTCAACCGTATCTTGTGCATGGAAAGTATTGGCTCTGTATCTGCGACGACCATGGACTGGCGATGCAAATTGTAGCTACATACCGGACAAAGTTACGCTTTGACATCTACATTTGTCTAACTTAACGCACAATGAGTATTTCAAACATAGCTAACCTCACCTTGTCTATGCTATATATAGACTACAAGGAGGGAGACGTGTTCGCATTCTTTGGTGACTTGGGATGGATTACTGGCCACTCATATGGAGTTTACGGTCCGCTCATGAACGGAGGAACGTCAGTACTGTTTGAATCTACTCCCGCCTACCCTGACTACGGTATGTCTCCCCTGGATATTAGGATTTATAGGTTTCTTGCTTAGTATTTTATGTATATTATTTTTATACGTGCACGACAAAAAAGGATGGTACATAGATTGTACACAATCTCAATCGGGGATTCGTAGTGCAAATGCCAGCGTGACTAAGTTCGTATCTTTATGTTTACATCTTTGTGTTTGGTTCGTAACAGTCAATCGCATATTCATAACATCGATACGAACATATTCTTATATAATCTCGTATCCATCCCAACCATCAGGGCGGTTCTGGGAGACAGTTGAGCGTCTTAAGATAAACCAGCTATACACCAGTCCCACCGCTATCCGTCTGCTATTACAACAAGGCGATGAATGGGTCAACAAGTACGATCTGTCGTCGCTTAAGACTCTTGGTTCAGTGGGTGAGGCTATCAATCCCGAGGCTTACAACTGGTACAGAGATGTAAGTTATTTTTAGAATGTTAGTCGCATTTTTCTTCTTCTAAATGCCAAGTATAGCAAGTCGTTTGTCTTATAGAATCACATGCAATAGCCTTTTTGATGTATCAGTATATATACTAAACGCATTCCCTCTGTATCGTGGTCCCTCCGTGTTTCTGCAGGTTGTCGGCAAAGGCAGATGCAGCATTGTTGATACCTGGTGGCAGGTAAGGGCTAAAACGTTTTTGGTTCTCTGTTCTTTTTTATAGCTATCGGAGTAGCCCTCCCAAGTGTTATACTTCTGGACAATCTCGTATCAATTGTCTGTTCTGTTTTTAGCCTGCCAGTTGGATGTTTGCTTTAGCTTAATGTTTACGGTGTATATATGCGATATCACTATCCGCATAGTGTAGTATATCACCTCCAAGAATGCTCCTCTCGTTGGAAACTTTAATCAGTTGTTGCAATTCATACTCCTGATTTTTACTTTGCTATTACATTTGACCTCATTCGAAAACATTTAGTCTCCTTAGAAAGTATCTAATGTCTGGTATTAACATTTTAAGCTTGTGAAAGAAACATTGACTTATAACCTCACATTTCTAAAAACTTTCATCAGACGGAAACCGGAGGAATCATGATTTCGCCATTGGCACACGATAAGGATACCAAGGTAAGCAGCATGAGTTAACAAACACATTTTTTTAGTGTGCAGTGCCTTGTGCGATACGTATTGGATACAGTTTGAAGGTAGCTTATTCGTTTGTGTATGAAGAGTGAATAAAATACTCGGGTTATAATATTTTATTTATTTGCGTCTGTACAAGTGAGGGCAGTTGTAAGGGAGTAATTAACCAAAACCTTAAACCTTAACCCAGGCCGGAGCTGCTACACGCCCATTCTTCGGAGTGATTCCTTCTATTCTGGACCCCAATGGCAATGAGCTGGAGGGTAATGATGTGGAGGGTGTTCTGGCAATCAAGACCGCCGGACCAGGTATGGTATTTGCAAATTCATTTTCCGGATAATCAATCACTGCGAGTCCCTTGCGCTGGATATTTGTGGTTACACGCGCATGTCATGATGGGATGTTCACGCCGGTTTGAAACATTGGGGGCGTGCTGTACTCCAATGTTTGCTGTCGTGCTATAACAATCAGCACCAGCGATGCCAAACAAAGTGTACCGATTACACACTAATACCGACTTCACTCGTCTGTGTAATATAGTCTGTCTTTTCACAATCGCCAGCAATGCCAAGCAGAGGTGCATTGTGTATCGATCACACGCTAATACTGGCTTCGCCCTTCTGGACTCTTAGGTATGGCCCGTACTATCTACAGACAGCACGAACGGTTCTTGGAGACGTATCTAAAACCGTTCCCAGGTTACTTCTACACTGGCGATGGTGCCAAGCGCGACAAGGATGGTCACATCTGGATCACTGGGTGTGTTTTTTGTGGCAATTGACTCAGATGATTGTGTGTATCTACATATACTCGCATACATCATTTCACGTGAACCAGTATCATCTTAAGTAGTAATAATGTAGTATTGTGTGGATGTGTATGGTTGTTTGAGGTTGTTGTCACTTTGATACTGCGCTAAATGTCTAGTTTGAATCTCCGCACTACCCCACATAAACCGTGCAACCCCGCCTTTTCACATGGTATATTCTTCTGTTCTATTCAACCACGTGCACACAGCATGCTTGCCCTCTTTCTATAGCACTAAAATCCTCCCCATTTCTTTCGTTGTGCACGGAACTCTCCTCTTCTGATCTCTACAGTCGCGTTGACGATGTACTCAATGTGAGTGGACACCGTATAGGTACTGCCGAACTAGAGGCAGAAATCAACAGCCACCCACTCGTCGCAGAAAGCGCGGTTGTCGGCAGACACGACGACATCAAGGTACACACGTTTTCTGATGCCTTCTAACGCACACTGGCTATACCTTAAAAACACACTATTTGTATTACACACTATTTGTTACTATAAGTTTTAGATGACTAAGTAACACGTCGAAATAGTCTATATGTTTGACCAAGTATATCGCAATTGTCATCTTCAGGGCCAAAGTGTGTTTGCATATGTCACACTCATGCAAGGCACCAAGCACAATGATCCTGCGGCCGAAGCAGATATAGTGACCGATCTAAAGAAAAGAATCTCGGCGAAGATTGGAGGGTTTGCACGCCCGGATAACGTTATCTGCAACAACGGTAAGAAGCTGATATTTGTACGAATCATGCTTGCCTTGTTGTCATTGTATTGGATTAGTAAAGATTTTGTCGTGATATAGGAACTAACCCCCGTGATATAGAAGTTCAATATATAAGGTGTAATAATAACACACTCTACAACTAAGGTGTAATGAGACTTGGCCTGAGCTCCAAAATTGACCTAAAATTGACGTCGATTTTTACAGATCTGCCGAAAACCAACTCCGGTAAAATCATGCGCCGAATCTTGCGCAAGGTGGCTGCAGGTGAATATACCGAAATTGGAGATATCTCCACTCTGAACAATCCCGATTGTGTTGCGAATCTGATTGAGAAGAGGAAGAAGATGGACAAGTAGGTAGGCTAACTCTTCGAAGAAAGAAACTAGTTGGGCAGCTGAAGAGGAGTGGAACGACGTCTGTCTGGACATATAACCAAGGCATACGACAAGGTCGCTCTCCCACGCCTATGGGAGCTATATTTATCAATGGCTACTCAGAGTATGAACCAAATACACCCTATCTCGAGATTCTAATTGAGAATGACAAACTGTAAAATTCGGACTTGAACATTCCTGTTTTGTGCCGAGAATTAATAAATCAGAAGCGAAGACAGTCGCACCCATAGGTCTAATGATCTAAATAAATTAGAAAATGACCATCTCGATGTGAGATTTGAGAGTATATTAGAAGCCTGGAGAGAATGAAAAGGTCTTGTCCAGCTTCCTATTTATGAGTCGCCGTCATTCGTTGTGAAGAGTTCCGAATCATGAATGTCAAGACGAGGTACATAACACGTATTTATATAGCACTCGAGGGCTCATAAATAACACTCAGAAATCTTACAGGCGTACACCGCATATACAGACACAGTCTCTCGATTGTTTATATGGAAAATAAGAGATTCTCGTTTGTGTCATCTGCAACCTGAACAACATAGAATGCTAGTCCCCAAACATCATATGCCACCGATGTCCAGGTTGTCCAAATATATCATCATACAGTATTTTCCTAAATACTTCTGTTCCCTTCTTCGTATTGCAAAGTTCTATGCTCGGCACAAAGTGTGGGTAGCACTGAATGTGTACGAGTTGTTGCTCAACGTGGCGAGTGTACAGGTTCGATGCCGTAAGGCGAGTGGTCATGCGGTATCTTGATGCTTGTGTAATATTGTAGACAAACAGACAGTAGCTATAGATGAATCGATAGATTATATGTGAAAACAAATCCCATCATAAGCAATGTATAAGTATCATATAGATAAATATATAACTATAGATGAATCGATAACTATGTATAGGTATATACATACAGATGCTCTAGATTAGTAGATATACATATATATATACCGGATATATACACCCTATGCATGGACATACTACTGATAACTGTTCTTTGTCATATGTGATAACTACTATTTATCACATACCACATCATAAGCAATGTTTAAGTTTCGCTTAAATCCAGAGCCAAGTTCCCCTCTAAATAGAATAGGACCCTGTACGAAGCGACGAATAGTGTATATACCAAGCGAAAAAATGGTTTATATATCAAGTGATGGGTAGCGTTATTTCAAGCGAAGGACAGTGTTATTTCAATCCATTATTTTAACAATATACGAATAAAGGGATGAATTTCAACTCGACGACCTTTATTTGTATTTATACGTAGTACCTCCTTGCATATATTTTCAAAATTCGAATAGATATAGTTGCGATATTGTACAGGAACACATACTTGAACGTTCCTCTTCATCAGCTATTCGGTTTAACAGCATTCCAAATGCACCAAGTAGCTTGTTGAGCACCTGCTAAAGATCTAAGCAATTACAACGAGAGGCATACCGCGTGTGCACGCAATGGGGGTGCGTATGGAGACAAAAATGATATGCTGCCGTGTCCATTATTTTACTATGTATTGGACAGTGACAAATAGCAACGGGCATATGTCAATACAGGCGTCAACTTCAACTCGACGACCTCTATTTGTATATATATGTAGTACATCCTTATACTTTCAACGTTCGAATAAATGCAGTTGCGATATTGTATCAAAGCACATACTTGAGCGTCCCTTTTCATCAGCCATTCGAATTAACTTCATTCCAATTGCGCCAAGTAACTTGTTGCACGCGTGCTAATGATCTAAACATCTACAACTAGAGACATATCGCGTGTATACACATCCGAGACTACAGCAAAAACTGTTCGATTAGGGCCTCGCAGGACTACTTCTCCGTTATAAGCATGCTTGTCATTCGGATAGTTTTTGATACTTCAGCCTTTGGCTTGCCCAGGGATTTTTTTCACGAGAGCCCCACGCTCCCAGGGACCTTAAGGTGTCCTTTTTGCTATCCTTACCTGTGGTATTTTTTGAAATACCTGTCGTTCCCCATTTTCCGATTCTCGGGCTTCTGGTCTCCACATTTGGCTCTTTGGCTACATGACTCTTCGGCATTCTCGTCCCTCGTCCACTCGTCTGTCGATATTACTACTCCTCGTCCTCTGGTATCAATGGCGGGGTCCACTCAATTTCCCGGAACTCCAGTCGTCAGGGTTTTTGTGGGCCTAGTTTTTTTTTACAGGGCCATCTCGGGTCCTTTGTTCCGGCAACCGGTCGTGGATAGCACAGGGTAGTCAACCAGCAGTGTGAATCCCTGAACGGGGTTTTTATACGACTTCGCAAAGAATTGCTAGCCCGGGGAATCGAACTCGGGACTTACCGAATACAATTCAGTGCTCTGACCACTGCGCTATCCAGCCTGTTGACACGCGCAACATTTTGATATATAAAACATAAAATTGTCAATCATATATGAATTCTACCATTTGTCGCTATTTTTACGAAAGTTCTACAAAGCTCATATTAAAGGCATTCACACAGTCTGTGACCTGGGCCCACTCAGAATTGCGCATGCGCTGGGCCTGTGCTGAACTATTTCTTATCGGAAAATAAAGTGAATGATTTTAGAGAGGCTTGGTAGTTTTGAACACTCAAAAGGTATTTATGATACGATGTAGAACACGAGTTTTCATGAAGCGATCTGTCTAGCTAGATGTTGGTTGCTATTAGGCTGATATATATATAT